CTTCCCGAATCACGGGCTTGTGGGCAGGACACAGTATTCCCAAGAGAGCCCTTCCCTGGCATTTCACCACACGGAGGCCAAACCGCACTTAAGTTGTGCTTAATTGTGAACCACTACTTAACCGTAGTCTGTCTTTCCACCCTGAGTGTTTAGGTGGCATCTCAATGAAAGTGCCCTCCGTGTGGGTCCTTACAAAATGTTAACAGGCTTCCTTAGAAGGGACATGGGGCCACCCTGGAACCCCTGGCCATCACTATTTTGGAGCCAGAATCTAGAGTTTTGAAAGCTGTGGTTTGTTAACCCTGTATCCATATTACATGGTCAAGACCAGTGTCTCAGCCACACCCACCCCCACCCACCCCACCCCTGCCTGGATGACGTGTGGGGAAGCCGAGGCCCAGCTACCGGTGGGAATAACCCATCGGCTCATCTGAAAACACGTGCTGAAACCCAAGGAACTCTGTGCTTGGGAAAATTACATAACATTTTAAAGATCATTTGTCTTTGTCCCTTTTATGAGAGCTACTCTACTTACCTGAAAGGATTTCTTTGAACTTCTCACCAAGAAATTAATAAACGCTAAATCATTTTGACAACTTTCTTTTCTTAATGCCTCACGTACATTGTTATCGTGAATGAATAGGCAATCCATGCTGTTGATTCCATTTCTTCTTATATTTTCTACTGTCTAAGTTGGACTTAGCTCCTTCAAGTCTAAGGACTATGTCTCATTTTTTCCCTTATGTCCCAAGCATCTGGAGAATATCACTCATTGGTAGATGAATGGAGGGAAGGAGGGAGGGAGGGAAGGAAGGAATGAGAAGGTAGGTGGGTGGGTGTTTGGAGAAAGGCATGGATGGATGGACAGATGAATGAACAGATGGACAGATGAGTGAACAGATGGACAGATGGTTGGGTGGGGGAAGGAGGGAGGGAAAGAAAGGGGGAGGGAGGGAGGGACAGATGGACACATGGTTGGGTGGGTGGATGGATGGATGGTTGGATGGATGGGTGGGTGGGTAGATGGATGGGTAGATTGAGTAGATGAGTAGGTAGATGGATGGGTGGATGGATTGGGTGGATGGATGGATGGAGAGAGAGAGAGAGGAAGGTAGGGAGGAAAGTTGGAGTTAGGGAAAGATGGATGGATGGTGGATAGATGGATTGGTGTGTGGATGGGTAAATGGATGGATAGATGGATGGATGGGGAGAAGGAAAGGAGAGATGGAGAGAAGGGATGGAGGGATGGATGGACTGATTATGAGGCTGAGTTCCCTTCTGACATTCCATAGAAAAATCTATGAGCAACGTAGTCAGCTATAGCTCAGAAAATCATATTGTCCCCATATCAAGGCATCCAGAGAATTGTGGGATTATAAAAGGCCAAAGTATTTTCCTTACACCCTCTATTTCCTCTTCCCCACTGACTTCCAGAGATGGGCTGGGGCAGAGACAGGGAAAAAGGAGCAAACTGATCCTCTTCCCACACCACACGTCTCCGGCCTGAGCTGGATCCCTGACTGGCACCACGAATCTGGGCACACCAGTGCCCAGTGGGCCTTTTCTCTTACTTGACAGACAGCAGAACCCAAGAACTGTCTGGAAGGCCCTCCTACGTGCGGCTCAAGGCCACCCCCAGCAATGCCGGCATGGGTCTCAAGTGGCACCCCAGAGATTCGGATTCAGGAGGAAGACGGCCCACGCTTGGCCAATCCCCGTGTGTGGCCAAGTTAGGAATGCTGCCTGGGCAGCCCACACGTCACAGGACGCTCTACGTTCCTCTCCACGCTGGGGCAGAACGGCGCCGACCGTGTTCCCCACCGAAGGCTTGCAGCTGGAAGGAGCCTCTGACTGCCCCGGGCGCTGGGCTGGCCATGGTGGAACCCGCCAATCTCTCAGCCACTGTTTACTCGCTGTGTTATCTGTAGCCTTCGCTGGCTCACCTGGTGAAGCATTCCTGCTTCGCCAGCTGAACCAGCTGAGGAGGGTGGAGGGTGCAGTGGTCACTGAAAACCCAGTTAGGCGGACGCTCACAAGCTAGCGTGTGTAAATACTGTCCGGGGCCATGATAAGGGGCAGGTGGGAGACCACACGTGTGTTGACTTCCTGGCCCTCCCTTCCCTGCTGGAGATAAATATGACGTCTGCAGTCTGTGCCCCACCTGATCTGGACCTGACCACCTTTCCTCCGGCCCACAGAGCCCCCTGTGTCCCTGTGGGAGCGTCGGGCAGGAAGCGAGGCCACGGCGTTGTGGCTCCGGACTGAGTCTGGGGGGGAGGCGTCTCGCGCATGCCTCCTCCGCTCTCTTGCTCTCAGTTCAGCCAGCAGTTCAGCGGAGCCACCCACAGGTGCCCCCTTCCCTCCCACAACAGTGGCCAAACGCCGACAACCACAAAGCCTTTGTGGGCCACATCGCTCCTTCCTCTGCCTGGGTTTGCCCGCTCTCTCTGTCGGAAGTCTGTTTTCCCCAGAGTCTCACACCAAGGGAGACTTCCGCTCACACGTCCCCTCCAACACCACAGGGCCCAGAGTGTCAGTGTGTGAGGCGGCTCGAGTTAGTAGTGCTAGAGCTTCAGGAGTAAGTATGTGTAATTTTGGTAGCAATTTTAATGGATTATGTATCCCATGTATGTACATGTGTGTGCATGTGGTGTGTGTAGGCATGTGTGTGGTGGTATGCACAAACATATGTCTGTGTATAAGCGTGTGCATGTAAACATATGTGCATACTCAGTTATACACATACATCAGACATATGTATGGCCCCATTCCATACAGCATATAGTATAAATGTGTCTATATCTGCATATGTGTAGAACACCGTGGAAATGTCCTTTGGTGTAAGGCATGCGTTTGGACACCTATGGTGACTCTGACCAGGCTAGGAGAGAAGTGCTCTGTTCTCCTCCCACCCCTTTTCCAGGAAGAACCCTGGGCCCCCAGGAGTGGCAGGAGCGTAGAGCCCGTGCTGTGTGAGGGAGGAAGGCCAGCGGGCCACCCTTCCCCCACCCCACCCCCCTCTGAAATTGCCACTTCCCACAAAACACATTCCACTCCGCAATCACAACACCCCACAAGGAGCCCGTGGGTCCCCCCAGTGCATCTGTACCTCCCGTTACACAGCCCACACCCATGCCAGTGTCCCAGGGACCCCAGGGGTCACCAGCCGCCCCCGAGGGCCAGGACAGCAAGCTGGGGCGCCGCCAGCCCCCAGCTCCATGGCTGCCTGTGGTGCTCTACCTTGGCATGAATTATGCAACGGGGGAAAAATCCATCTTTTAAAGCACAGCTCTGAAATCTCCTAATACACTTTTCTCCAAAGGAGCCTGTGGATCTAGAAACCAAAGCAGACTTTCTGGCTGTAATATCCCCCCCGACCCCAGGGGCCTTCCTACACCGCCATCTCTTTCTTCTTTCCTTCCAGAAAGGAAAGCGCTCCTTCCTTGCACTCCCAGGCCAGAAAGATGGCCGGACAGAGCCCCACCCCATCCCTAACAAACCCTGGACCACTGGCGGCTTTCCAGGATCTTGGCTGGTCCCCTACTGGCTTGGCAGCCAGCTCTGCCAGCCAGGCCCACGCTGAAGTCTGCAGCTAATACAACTTAGATAAAACACGCAACATGTGGCCAGCTGCCCACTGCTCTGGGTCTTGATGAATAATTTAGACAAGAATTACCCTTTTCCAAATGAGTCCAATAAAGCAAGACTCACTGCAGCCTGCCCACCCATAGAGCCTTCCTTCCCAGCCTCTAGCTGCCACAATTAAGGCTCTGGTCCTAGTCTACGAAGAACGCCACCGTGCTGATCCTGATCTGGGGAAATTAAAGGTCCCTCCCCTTGCCCTTCCCCTACTGGAGAAGAAATTTGCGGGCAAGCCCATCTCTCAACCCCATTTCGATCAAGCTGTCGCAGGGCTGCGCCGTTACCTTGTTAAATGGTGCTGTCAACAGTCAATTTTAGTCCATTTAGGACTAATGGAACTTTTTTTTTCAATCTTCCCTTTCAAAGCCTGCACCCAACTTCTATCATAGTTAAGTAGCTTAAAGACAAAGAGGGGTTGGCGCCTTGGAGGGCTGACGCCAGGGTGGGATAGGGGAGGGTAAAATGAAGCTGGAGCCAGGCGCTGGTGGCTCACGCCTGTAATCCTAGCTACTCAAGAGGCTGAGATCTGAGGATCTCGGTTCAAAGCCAGCCCGGGCAGGAGAGACCGTGAGACTCCTATCTCCAATAAACCACCAGAAAACCGGAAGTGGCGCTGTAGCTCAAGTGGTAGAGCGCTCGTCTTGAGCTGAAGAGCTGAGGGACAGTGCCCAGGCCCAGAATTCAAGCCCCACGACCAACAAAAAAAAAAAAAAAATGAAGCTGGAACATTCTAGTAGGCCCAGTGTTTAATGACTGATAGGAAAATGTCAAAGGGATCCCTGAGCCAGCCAGCAGGGACTCCCACGGACAAAGCTGGTCTGGCTGAGCATGGAACTGAATCATGACAGGAACGGTTAACACGGATGGAACCAAAGCAGGCTAAAAGGACAAGGGAGGGAGGGAGAGAGGGAGGGCAGAAATGCCCAAAATAAACAGGAGAAAGAGAAGCAAGATTCTCACTTGGTCTTTGTGTGCAGTCTGGGCCAGATTAAACTAAATTCCCTTAAATATAATGGGCAGGAATAAATTATCCCTGACCTACAGAAGCCTGGGCCCGCAGGCCTCTATCTGGAAAGGGCTGACATTACCACAGCTACCCCTGAGCGTCCTGGGACCTGAGTGCCCCAGGGAACCTCGGCGTCTGCGCACACTGCTTCTCCACACGACCTCCAGGAACCAGGGGAGAGGCAGGGCCCCCGGGAGCTGCCCCCTGCCACCCCGAGCTCCAGCTCCAACACAAGGAGGCCCGTCTCTAGTTGAAGCTCCTCAGCCTGTGCCACAGGAGACTCATACTGCTCACACACGGTGGGTGGCAGGGATGGGGGCAGGTCCTGGTGACAGTCTGCCAGGGCTGGCCCGCAGGGGCCTGTCCCACAGACCTGGGCAGACCCCCAGACCGCGCCCTCCTTCACCCAGACTCACAACAGAGACCCACAGCAGGGCTGAGGTGCATACGGTAAACATTCAAGGAGGATTTAGCACAGTACTTTGTACATGCTATAGAGTACTGCTTGTTGTTATTCATTGTTGTTGTTTGTAGTAGTAGCAGTACTCTTTACTTTGACCATAAACTTTGTTCTGAACTTTGAAAGACTTTAAGTCATGGTATTTTCAGGGTGGACCAAGAGAAAAGCTCTTCTTAGCTTCTAAGCCCTGCTCTGCTGGTTTAGCTATGCAACCTTGATTAAAATATGACTCATGCAGAAACTCCCTTTCCTTACTCTCTCCTAAGAGATAAAGGTACATTTCTAGTCAGGTACCAGTGACTCATGCCTATAGTCTTAGCTAATCAAGAAGCAGAGATCTGAGGATCAAGGTTCAAAACCAGCCCAGGTAGGAAAGTCCATGAGCCCTTATCTCCAATGAACCACCCAAAAACACCAGAAGTAGAGCTATGGCTCGAGTAGTAGAGTGCTAGCCTTGAGTGTAAAGGCTCAGGAACAGCACCCAGGCTCTAGATTCAAGCCCCAAGACTAGTTCAAAAAACAAGCAAGCAAACAAGTAAGTAAATAAATAACAGGGACATCTCCTGGGATGTGGCAGAGGTACCTCACTTGCCTAGCTTACGTGAGGCTTTGCATACATCTCCAGCTCCAAAAAACAAAAAGTAGGGGAGAGGCGAGAGAGGAGGGGGAGAGGAAAGGGAAAAGGGGGAAAGGAAGAGAAGGAAAAGGAAGGGAAAGGAGAGGAGAGGAAAGGAGAGGGGAGAAGAGGGGAGGGGAGGGAAGGGAGGGGAGGAAGAGAAGACATCCAGCCCCCGATGACACCCAACCCACCCCTGCGGGCCCCACCGACCCTGACTCCAAGCACACAGGCTGCTGGGAGTGCTGCAGTCCCAGCTCTTCTGGGCTGAGGCTTGGCAGTAGATCCCTCTGAAGGATCTAAACCTTCCAGTTCTACCACTTGATCACATACACGACATACCAGGCTTGGTACTTTCAACTGCTGGAGGAAAGCAAAGCATGGGAAGTCTTCAACGACTGGGGAAACCAAAGGGGACCTGAACGTCTCCCTGATGTTTTAGGACTTGCTTCTTCATGGTAGGAAAAGAGAGGTTTAAAATGAGCCCTCTGTCTGTCTCTGAACTTGGCTGCAGCCTGGTGGCCCTGATCACCAAGGCTTCCGAGGGGTCGCTATGGAGGAACTGGGGAAAGGCAGCTCTTCCGGGTGGAAGGGTGGGGGAGGCCACAGCGCCCTGTGGTCCCCACGCCACGCAGGACTTTCTTAGGCCGACACAGAGCAAGCTGAGCTCAAGGCCGTGACCCGCGTGCGGCCAGCAGCCAGCCTTCACTTACCAGGGGACGGCGGGACCACCGTGAGGTTCACGGTGACGGCCGTGCGGGCCTCTGGAGCCCTCAGTGCAGCCACGCAAGTCAGCGTCCCGTTGCCCTGCGGCCGGAGCGCCAGGATGCTCACCACACCGCCACCGGCCCCCGGCTCCGCGAACGAGGAGTAGCTGGAATGGCTGGCAGGGACGCCAACCCTCCAAGTAATGTCCGGGAGTGGGGTCCAGCCCTGGGCTCGGCAGGTGACATTACAGGGCTCATCCTCGGTGACCTCAAGGTCATCACCAGGGATGCTCAAGGTTCCCATGACTGAGGGAGAGAGAGAGAGACAAGAGAGACAGCGAGGCGTGGCAGCACCACTCCCAGTCAGCTTTTCTCCACCATTTTTCCACCAATTTTTGCTTCAAATCACATTCTTCCCAAGCCCCTTCCCCCCCCCAGCCCCCCAAAAGGCTGTGTCTGTCCCAGGACCCCTCAGCTCAGGTTTTGATCTGTGTTTTTTCTTTTTCTTTTTTTTTAACCTGCCATGTTCTTGGGGAAAGGTGAGGTTGCTCACCAGGAAATAGAATATTCCAGAGAAAATGAGGATATATGCAGACCCATGGGGAGATAATTATAAGAGAAGGCCATGGTGGATGCATATGCCCTCAAAGTTGTCTTGGATTGTCCTGGCAGCAAAAGTGAAAAAGGGAAAGAATCTATGTTCTTTTCAAGGGGAGGAGGAGATGCCCTGGGGCCTCCTGTAATTTCCATCCTTCAGATTTACTTTCTTTATTGGATGGGGAGGGAATATCACAAACTTAAAACATAAGATTTTTTAAATTTCTCTGAACATATTTCTAGTTCCAAGTTCAATCAAAATTTAAAACAAAAGGTCAAGGTCACTAGCATCAATGACTAACCCAAATGAGGTGTTCAAATTGTTGACCAAGATAAATTATTGTTTTTGTTAAGAATCCTCTTGCAGCTAGGTGCTGGTGGCTCATGCCACTCAGGAGGCTGAGAGCTGAGGATCACAGTTCAAAGCCAGCCTGGACAGGAAAGCCCATGAGACTCTTATCACCAATAAACTACTCAAAAAAGACAGAAGTGGTGCTATGGCTCAAGGGGTAGAGCACTAGCCTTGAGTAAAAAGGGATTCGGGGATAGTGTCCAGGCCCTGAGTTCAAGCCCCAGGACAGGCTTGAAAGGAGGAGTGGGGTTGGGAGGGATGGAAAATGAAAGAGGTGACATTACTCAAAATGTACTGTACTTAGAAAGTGATTTTACAGCCACTTAAAGATACTACAAATATAAATTTTAAAAAGAGAAGAATCCCTTTGCCTCTGGTGGCATTCATACATTTGAAAAGAATATTATTTTTGTTAATATAAATAATATAAACAATAACCTGGAAGTTCAGCCCCAGCCAAGACACAGCCTTTGTGAAATACATATGCATTGATACATTCAAATGACAAGAAACCGCAGCTGCCCAGTACAACAGAAAGAACACAGGACCAAGGACTGAAGACTGGGCTCCACCCTGGCCTCCAGCTCCTGAGACACCTCGGGCAAATGGCTGAACTCTGGGAGCTCTCGGGTCTCAGTTGGAGACTAGATTGTATTTCTCGCAGGTTTGGGCTGCTGTTTGCAGCTGTCTGGGTACCCTTTGCATTCTTCGGAACCACCGAGGACCCCGGAGACCCCCAACGTTCCCTTCCGTAAAGGCTGTCTGGGAGTGTGAGCAGCATGTGACTGCCGTGGCGGTCAGTGCACTCCGGTGACTCCAGCCGGAGCTGGTCACCTGTGCTCGTCTTCCTCATTGATCTATGGGGAGGAGAAAGCACTCACGGCTGGGGAGCTCGTGGGCATTTCCTCCTCCGCGAGGAGACCCCGCGGCTCAGAGGTGCTTGTGGCTCTAAGGACACTGGAGCCCTGTGGAATCAGGGTCCATGACAGCACGCCCCGTCCAGCTCCGAGACCCTTCAGCCAGCCAGCGAGGATGCTTTCACACGGCCAGAGGCTGCGTTGGGATCACCATACACGAAATGCACCTTAGCGGTGGTCAGACAAGTCCCTAGAACTGAGATGCTGCGTGGATTTGCAGATTTGCAAATGGTCCTGCCCTTGGTTCCTGTGTCCCTCGTCCAGGAGCCCCCTCCTCTCTCTTTATCTCTCTTTCTCTCTTTCTCTGCCTGTCTCTCCCTCTTCTTCTCTCTGTGGATTTGCCATCAATAGCCCTCCAGGCTACCAATGAGCTTCTCTCCTCCCTGCCTCCGCCAGCATCTGGATCATGCCTCATACTCACACCTTGTCACGTCCACCCTTTCCGTTGGGTCCTGAGGACAGGATCTGCTCCTCTCTTTGTCTGTGTGATCCACTAAACTGGCTGGCACAGTGGCCCGGTCTGGCTGGGAATGAATGCGATCACTCGTGCAGGTCACGTGTGGTACGTGCTAGGAGCCGTGCAAGTCTAAAGACGCTCCATCCAGCTGCTGTCCGAGGAGAGCACTGGGACACAGAGTCCACGGGTGCTGTGTCCGAGGCCACACTGGAGCATTGGACCAGGCGGCCAGGCCAAGGCCTGTGCTGCTAAGCCTCACCACACCGGCCTGGACCTGGTGTACAATGAGCTGAATGGACGGACGTGAGTCTTTAGAGCATCCTCATTCATGTCCCCCAATAACCTGCAAAAGGGGCAATGAACTCTCATCCTCACTTATTTCTTTTCTTTCCTTTTCTTCTCTTGGTGCAAGACCAAGACCCAAACTCAGTACCCGATGCTTTTGCTTTTTGGTAGTGTTCTACTAACTGAGCCATGTCTCCAAACCTCTCTTATCTTCATTTGAAAAGACAAAGAAATGAAGCCATCTGGGAGGGGGGGGGGTCTCCTATTAAAGAAGGTTGGTTGATGAATGCAAAGCCAGAATTCACATCTTTGATTCTCTTCCTGTGTTCTTTCCAATTATAACAATAAATAACAATAAACAGTTGAGCATGCAAACTAGCCAAAAGTTCTGGAAAACTTAAAAGCTTATTTCTAAATCATCACTGTACCCATCATTAAACTACGCAAAATTAAAGCCACCAAAAGCAAAGAACCATCCATCTAGCTACATTTTGAGGTTTAAAAAAATCTTTTAAATGCAAATGGAATTAGACAGACATGTCCTTCCACCAAAAGTTATCCAGTTTGATTAGACAGCAACAGGAATGCAGACAGAATACAGATGGAATCGTTGGAGATTTTGCTGAGGCGAGTCCATGAACAGGCTTAAGAAATAATGTCAGAGGCACAGTGTGATCTCTGGTGAGACAGGCAATCACAGAGATCAGGACTCGCCTTGGGGCTTCTAGAAACGGTGTATATGTACACTATTAAAGACTACAACGTGATAAGATCCTTTAACTTTTTTCACTATGCAATGTGACCTTCAGCACCTTAAAAATACCTTAAAGCAAGAAAAGCAAGGAATCAAATATTACAGATTTTGTTGACCCTTTCCCTTCCTCTGAAAGACTTGCTATATTTTGGTGAACTTTGGACTGCCACCACTGTGGCCCAAACAAGGTAGACTAAGGAAATTCTCCCAGGAAGAGAAAAAGGTTAAAACATGCTTCAAAGCTGTGGGCAAAGAAATCTTACGAATCACACGAAACACCATGGGAAGAGAGATGACTGCCATTGCTCACACCAACATGACTGCAACCGGACCCAGGGAATGACAAAGTGTGCGTCTACAAGACGCTTGAGCCAATGAGCTGGGAAAGTGATTCCACCTCTGTCTAAGAGTCTAATCAGAAGATAAAAGGAGTGGAAAGATGGAAAGAGGACGGGAGGAGACAGACAAACAAATGGCAACCATTAGTTCAGAATAACAGGAGGGAGGGGAGGAGGGAGGGGACAGACAAAGGTACAAGGAAGCATCAGTCGCTTTAGAACAATGACAGCCTACCACCACCTCAAGGTAGACTCACTACAGGGAGCCCTCACCACACACACACACGGCGCCTTAAGGCCCCTGCCGGCCCGGGCTCCGGCCGCGCCCTCACCTTGGACGGACAGGAAGGCCAAGGCATCCAGGTCGCTGCTCTGGAGGCTGCAGCGGACCTGCCCCGCATCGCGGAGCTGCACGTCATGGACGATCATCTCGGAGACAAAGTCCCCTCCGCGGTCGTAGCTGGCGGAGGTGAAGCGGTCGTTGGTGATGATGGGCTCCCGCGGCGTGACGCTCAGCACCACCACGCCGTTCAGGGCCCACATGATGAGCTTCCAGCCCGGCGACACCGTGCAGTTGAAGCGGGCCTCCGAGCCCTTCAAGACCGTGATGTTCTGGGGACCTTCTACGATCTGATACCCGGACCCTGAAGCTGGTAAAGGAATGCACCGCCTAATCAACAATGCCTCCAACCCTTCCGTGTTTACCAACCGTGACCTCCCGGAGGCCCACCCAGGACTCCAGCTCCAGGGCCCCTCTCCACGCCCTGCCCTAAAGCTCCTCCTCAGAATGTGACCTTTGAGAAGAGTCTTTGCCCATCCATTGATAGACTCACCTGCCCATAGGAAGGACGCTACGTCCACTCCTCCGTCACCTGGACAGGACAGGAAGGTGGGGGGAGGGGCAAAGCTAAGAAGCCCACAGAGAACGTCGTGTGGAGATGCAGGCAGAGATCGAATGCTACGCCTGCAGGCCAGGGAATGCTGAGGTTTGCCAGTAGCCAGCAGAAGCTAGAGAGAGGCAGCCCGGTTCCCCCGGGGGCTTCAGAGCTATCCGTCCCAGCTGCCATCAATGCCTGGGACTGGCAGTTGAAGATATGAACACGGGACCCTAACTCAGACCTCCTCATGCTACATTCCTGGCTCTTCTCACTGGTCCACCACAAGCCTGGTGACCTGCACACATAGCAGGGCGGGGAGGCCAAGGCCAAGGAGGGGCATCTGGCTGTAAGGCAGATGCAACACAATCATTGTGTCCCCAGTGTGAGGCCGTGGCCCCCGTGCTGGGATAGAAAGGTCCCTTGGTGGCAGCCCAGGCAGTGTTACGCTGGTGCCCAGGGGGCATCAGTGACCAGGACCGCCATCCTCTGTTCCCTTCCTGTCCAGCAAAGTCCAACCCAGAGGGCTCCTGGGTCACCCACCTGACACCTTCTGTGTGCCTGCAGGTGACAAGGTGAGTGGGACGTGTCACACCCGGTGGGTGTGGGCATGGTGCTGCAGACACGGGACCCCACCCTGGACACACAGGGGCAGGAAGCCGGCCATGCCCGCGCTGGCAAAGCCAGATAGGCAGAAAGGAAGGAGATAAAAGCCAGCTTGTAGAACAGCCCTGGGAAGGCCCCTGGGGGAGGACAGGGCTGGTGCGGAGCAGTGAAGGCCGTCCTGGAGAAGAGCTAGGCAGGGAAGGACCTGAGCCCAAGCAGGCGGTCACAGGATGGGGACAGACGGACGGACGGAGGGTCAGGAAGGCCCTCACCGCGTGCAGCCTCCATCCCCTCCAGCCATGGTTTCCCAGCATGTGCATGCACACGTGTTCATGCACATACATAGGCGTGCACACATGTGTGTACACATACACACAGATTCACACGTGTGCACACACGCACACACATATGTATGTACATGCACACACACACACACACACACGTACCTCCCTACCTGCCAGTCCAGCCAGGACTCCCAGCACAGCCAGGACGCCTCTCCGGCTGCTCTCCATCTCTGCATGGTCCTCCTCTCCTGGAACAGAAGCAGGCAGGTGACAGCCAGCATGGAGGAGCGGGTCCCGGGCCCCGGCAGCTCCTGGTGTGCCAGGCAGCTCGGCACTCTCCGCCAGGTCCCGCTCCGGGACCACACACGTGGGCCAACCCAGACCCGCTGGGTCTGCAGCGGAGGTGGAGGCAGGTGGGGGCCGCTGCGACCCCTGATCCCGGGGCCTCCACTGCAGACAGACACGAGGAGCCACCAGCTCCAGGTCCCCGTGCAACGGAGCGGGCTGGCTGAGAAGCTGCTTGTAGACCACGGCTCTCCATCTACCTCCATGGAAAACTCTGCCCACAGGTGCTCACAGCCTCACGGGGGAGGGGGGCGGCCCACCAGGCAAACAGATAGATCTCAGAGAGGAAGGTAGCAAGAGGAGAGGGGAAGAGGAGCAAGAGTTGAGAGGAAGGGCATGTGTGGTTAGGAGGGACTGGCCATCCTGCCAGGCAGGTGCTCAGGGGTAGGGTCCTGGTGACATGAGGCCTCTGTAGGGCTTTCCCCACAGAGGAAGTGGTGGGTGCAAGGGCCCCGGTGGTGGGGGGGACAGGAAGGAGGGGGATTGTGTTGGCCATGACTGCAGAACTGCGGGGAGGGCGTAGGGCAAAGCAAGGGCGAGTGGATGAGGCTGAGGCTGAGTAGGCAGAACAAGGCCCGGCCAGAGGTCGGCAGGACGCAGCCCGTCCTCCTTCTGAACGCTCTCGCTGGCGCTGCAGCCCTCGCACTTACTTCCTCTCTCTCCCTCCTCCCCAGCATGTTCCAGCACTGCGGTGCCCAGGGCATCCTTGCTCAACACCAAATGCCCTGCGGCCTGTCCCAAGGCAATGCTGTGGGCTCCAGGAGAGGGGTGTGTGTGTGTGTGTGTGTGTGTGTGTGTGCGCGCGCGTGCGTGCGTGCGTGCGTGTGTGTGTGTGTGTGTGTGGTGTGTGTGTGTGTGTGTGGTGTGTGTGTGTGCGTGTGTGTGTGTGTGTGCGTGTGTGTGTGTGGTGTGTGTGTGTGTGTGCGTGTGTGCGTGTGCACGCGTGCGCATGTGTAACCAGCAGGCCCGTCCCACCTCATCCCTCCAGAACGGGCAGTGCCAGGTCCCACCAGAGCCCTGGGGTGGAGTTTTGTCTCGAGTGGGCAGGACATTCAGGGCTGGGGCCTGGAGGGGGGGCCCCCGGCCAACCCCGGGGTGGAGTAAGAGTGCCCGTGCACGGGTCTGAGAGCATCTCCAAGCTACTGGATGGAACAAGGGCTGCTGGGGCGGCAAAGCCATCACATTTCCCATTCCTGCTCCTTATCCAGTACTTTCAGCTGGTGAGAAGGCAGCAAGGCTTATGCATTTGCCAGGCCTCCGGAGAGCAAGCTTCAGAACACGCCCCACGCTGCAGCGACTCCCGTCCACAATTCCTGTGCTGAATTCCTGTGCTGCAGGACTATGGAACCCCTCAAAGCATCCAGCCCCTCGGGACAACCCCCAAAGAGACTCTGCGAAACCCACGCACATGGGCGTGTCCCGCAGCGTGTCAGCCCCGCAGCCAGGCCCAGACAGGAGTGAAGTGCCGCCTTCTGGGGTGTAGCAGAAGCCAGGATGACGCAGCACCCGGTAAATCATTTCCTAATTTTCAAGCCTCAGTTGACACAGCCCAGCGGGAAGGCACGTCAGCCGTCCCCTGGAATGCCGGGCTCGGGGGAGAAGGAAGAGAGCGCGGAGCCCACCGGGTTTCGGAAGGGGCGCGTTTGATCGGAAGTGACAACCGCAGCCCGTGGACCGACGTGTGAGGCTGCAGGGGCGGCATGCCGTCCAAGACCCCTGGCACACACTGCAGACCACCACGAGAGCCGTCCAAGACCCCTGGCACACACTGCAGACCACCACGAGAGCCATCCAAGACCCCTGGCACACACTGCAGACCACCACGAGAGCCGTCCAAGACCCCTGGCACGCACTGCAGCCGCCGACCACCATGAGAGCCGTCCAAGACCCCTGGCACACACTGCAGACCACCACGAGAGCCGGCCGCTGGCACGCACTGCAGCCGCCGACCACCATGAGAGCCGTCCAAGACCCCTGGCACACACTGCAGACCACCACGAGAGCCGTCCAAGACCCCTGGCACGCACTGCAGCCGCCGACCACCACGAGAGCCATCCAAGACCCCTGGTACGCACTGCCGCTGCCGACCACCACGAGAGCCGGCCGCTGGCACGCACTGCCGCCGCCGACCACCATGAGAGCCGGCCGCAAACAACCACCTGCTCTGCCCCCCCACACACACACCTCTCCCGAGACGGCCGCGAGCCACGCTCCCGGAGGGCAGAAGCCGGTGGTTGGGGACGAGACGGCCCACAGACGAGCTGTGTGGACACAGCGCCCAGGGGGAGGCAGGGTGACTGCCACATGGGCATGACACCCCCTCGGGGCCTGTCCCCTTTACTGGGGACATATCTCTACAGGACACACACCCCCTCTCAGGACATGCCCCCTCCCCGGGGCCAGCCTTGTCAGAACACCCAGAGAGGCCTGCACATTTCCTTCCCCAACAAAGCCTCCTCTGGGGTCTCGAGAAGGCATCGGCAGAGGTGCCCGCAGAAGGACAGGACTCGGTGACATCGCGGCAGGAGAGTCAGGAGACCTCTCCCCAGCCTGCCAGGGCCTGGTGTCCCGCAGGTGTCCCGCAGGTGTCCCGCAGGTGTCCAGGGCTGGCTGGAATTGTCTGGAACGCCTGAGCTCACAGAGCAGCCTCTCCCCCAGAACCCTCAGGTGCAGCGAGGCCTGGCAGAGGCTCTCGAGAGGAAAACCTCCTGTGTGGGGCCCCCGAGGGCGCTCACCTACCTGGGGCAGGTGAACTTTGTCTGGACGGCTGCAGGAAGGCCGTGGGTCCCGCCGGGCTCCTGGCCGCCGTCCCGTCTCCACCGGCACAGGAACGGCTCCGTCTGGCCAGCCAGGGCCCTGGCAGCGAGGCTCTCCCCGGGTAACAGGAAGTGCCTCCCGGCGTGGCTGTACCGTGTCACGGGCGGGCTATCAACATAGGGGTGTAGGGAGGTGTGAGCGCAGCCACAGGGCAGGGGACAAACGCCATTAAACATTAGCCAGCTCCACGGAGCTGCAGCACCGGAAGTCTGGCCCAGGCTCGGGAGGCAGCCACCTCTCCCCGAGCCCGGCCCAGCTCCTGCCGTCCAGGCCCCAGCTCCCCTGGCTGGAGCCTGGCAGGCCCTGACCTGCCCCCCCACTACAGCCCGCAGGCCTGGAGACACTGGCCTGCTGTCCTCCCTGGACCTCGGCGGCTCCTCCTGCCTTCAGCAGAGCAGGGGCTGGAGAAACCGGTTCCTCTGGCAGACAGGCAGGCAGGCAGGCCGGGCGGGCGGGCGGGCGGGCGGGCGGGCAGGCAGGCAGGCAGGCAGGCCGGCCGCCCCGTCCACAGGGCTGGGGCTTTAGGAAGAGTAAGACCTAGGGGCCATGTGCTCGGACCGGAAGCCTTGGGGGTACAGTGGGGGGGGGGCAGGGCCTCCTGAAGAATAAGACCTGCCAGAAGCCTCCACACCTGGCCCCTCCTCAGAGCTACGCTGCACCCCTCCAAGCCAGCCAAGGAGCCAGACAGAACGTGCTGGTCAATTCCAGCAGAGATCCTGATGATCGGCACCAGCACCAACTCCTCTGCTTTGTGGCCGCTCCTGGTGAGCCTTCGGCCTGCCTCCCCCATGACAATGCGCTCTTAGACAGTGCCCAGAGCCAGAGCATTGGCTCCTATTAGGGGTAAGAACTGCCAGAAGGAGACTGCCACCTGGTTCAGGCAGTCCACCTGGGGACAGCCAGCCTGGCCGGGCCTCACTCTGGGGACAGCCAGCCTGGCCGGGCCTCACTCTGGGGACAGCCAGCCTGGCCGGGCCTCACTCT